ACAGGGTCACCTGCCACACACCACGAGGCCGGGCCCTCGAGTGACTTCCCCTCCCGGGGTCAGGATGGATGCGTCCTGATGGAACCACACACTCTTTCCTGATCTCTCTGGCTCCGGGAACAGGGCTGGCTGCGGTTGAGGACGCTAGCTGCGGCTCTGGAACCGAGGTTTTGGCTGCACAAAAGGCACAGGTGCTGGCATTCATGACGCGCAGGAAACGAACCACACAGATTTGTAAAGAGAGTACCAACTCATCACGCTTCCCACTCGGTCCTGGGAGTGGGTACCGGGTAGGTGGGCTGGGAGAGGGCTTTCATGGGCTGGGGAACTTCATGTTCTCACAAGTCGGGGTGAGAAGAGTTAGTGTCAGGCCTGCAGCCTGAAGCGTGCACTGAAATGAATCCTCCACGCCGACTCCTCTCCTGGACCCAGCATGGAGAAGGGCTGCAATGTAGGAATGAATCCACCTCAATGCAGGAGTGAATTTAGGGAGACCATTAGGATACAGGTGGAGGTCGACCCCTACGCATGTGTCACTCCCGTTGCTGAGACTGCCCTGGCCTCCTCTCCCAGGGCTCCCATAACACCTTCCCTTAGGAGCCCCCGAAGAGGTCCCCGTCCTGAATCCCAGGAACTATGCGCGTGTGAGGCTCCACAGCCGTGGGGGATGAAGGCAGAAGACGGAAGTACGGCTGCTAATCAGGTGACTGTAGAAGAGGGAGATCATTGGAGATTACACAGGTGGTCCGATGTAACGAAAAGGGGAACAGAAAGATGGCAGCAGGGGGACGGAGGCCGACGTCAGCGGCTTTGGAAAAGGCAGGAGGGGACTGTGCGCCCAGGAATGCAGGAGGCCTCTAGCAGCTACAAAAGGCAAGGGAACAGGGTCTCCCCTGGAGCCCCCCGAAGGAACAGAGTCCTGCTAACACCTTGACTGTAGCCCCAGGAGACCCATTTCAGACCTCTGACCCCCAGCCCTGGGAGAGAATCAGTTTGTGTTGGTCTAGCCCCTAAGTTGATGGCAATTTATTACAGCAGCAAGAAGAAACGGATACGCCATGTATCATTATACTTATGCTAATGTAATGTTTACTATATGCCTAACCCTCCCTTCGGCAATGGCGATAATAATAATAATAATAATTGCAGCTCACACCTGTGGAGCACTCACCACGCAGCAGAGCTTTTCTAAGTGTGTCACCAAGTTTTTCATCGGAGGCAAGAAGACAGTAAGAATGAAAAGGTAGCTTGAACAGCCCACTAAGATGAAGGCACACACAGGGACCTGAGAGTGCAGGAGGAAACTAGAGGCACCTTCAAGAGGATACAGACACAGGTACGGCTCTGGCCAGGTAGCTCAGTGGGTTGGAGCGTTGTCCTGTACACCGATAGGTTGCGGGTTTGATCCCCGGTCAGGGCACATACCGAGGTTGCAGGTTCAATCCTCAGTCGTGGTGTGTACTAGTGGTAAATGACTGATATTTCTTTCTCTCATTGGTGTTTCTCTCTCCCCTCCTCTCTCTCTCAAATCATTAAACATGTCCTCGGGTGAAGATTAAAAAAAAAAAAAGACAGGTATATTTTAAAAGATGAGTAGGAGTGAGCCTGGAAGAGGGGAAGCAAAGCCCAGGCAGGGGGGGAAGGACGGAAGATAGATGAGACGCAGACGTGCGCTGGCAAGCACTTGGGAGGCTCAGCTGCAGGCTGGTAATTCCTGCATTAGTGTCTCCAGCCCGTAAGTCTCCTCCGAGGCCCAGAATCCCATGCCCTCGTGTTTGCCTGCAGTCCGCACCTGGACGCCTCGTGGACATTTCGGCTTAGCACGGCCAGTATGGAAACTCACTCCCTGCAGGGACGTGTCCCTCCACCTGTTTTCTGGGTCTCCCAGAGTGACACCCAGCTGCTCGAGCCGGAGCCCAGCAGTCATCCTGGAGTCCTTCCCCCTGCCCCACCCCAGTTCGATCCAGCCCCAAATCTCATCAGTCCTATCTCCCAGGTTTAAGAGGTGACTCTGACTTCTCTCCACCTCCACCGCTACCACCCTGGTCCAGGCTATCATCGTGGCTCTGGTTTAGCGCAGTGGTGTCCTAACTGGTGTCCCTGCTTCAACTTTTTGTCCCCTGTGATCAGTACTTCATAAAGCAGGAAACTCTTAATGTCTATCAAATCCCACTCCTGAGCGCACACTCACCAACGCTTCCCTTTGTAGTGGTGGGAGAAACCTGCCCAGCGTGGCCTTGAACCGGCTGTGTAATCTGGCCCCTGTCTCCCTCTAAAACTTCACCTTACACCACTCTCTCCGTTGCTCCCTTACATCTCGCACCCCCTCTGCCCTGACTTCCCTAACTCCCAGGAACATATCAAGCTCTTTTGCGCATAGAGGACTTTGCACATTCTGATCCCCCTGCCTGGAATGCACTCCCCTGCAACCTGTCTGCCTGGCCAGTTCCTTCTAAACTCTTCAGTCTCAGAGAAGCCTTTCTCTAGCAAAATTGGGACTACCCCCACCCCAGTTCACTGGGGGCATGATTTCCATCCCTTATGTGTTTCCTTGATAATAAGAATCACCACCTCTCATCCGTTAGGAGTTACCAGCTTCTTCATTTTTGCCTAGCTCCTCCCCTGGAATGCCGGCTCGTGGAGGGTGGGGCCACGTCTATCTGGTTCATTGGGATTTCCCACAGTGCTTAGCGTGGAGCAGCTGTTCAACAGAGGCTTATGGAATTGACTAATTAAAAGAGAAAGTGTGAGGCTAACACTGAAAGATGAGGCTGGAAATAGAAGACTGGAATATAGGGCCGTCGTCATCTTGCAGACCTGCACTTCCCACGGGGGAGCCACTCAGCAGATATATACCGGCCAAAGGAGAGCACGGCCAGTCCACAGGAATCTGAAGTGTCCTTTCTGGGCAAGGTCCCCAAAGGAGTTCCCTCTCCTCCTTGGGGCCTCTTAGGAGGTACCACGTCTCGCGCTGACAGCACGGGTTCAATCCATGCTAGCTGTCCTTGTCACTGCTGCTCATGTGGGAATGATTCGCGCATCCCACAGCAAAGGCTTCTTCTCGAGCCCATGCCAGATACAGTGGGTGGGAGGCAAGTGGGAGGAAGCAGCACAGGAGGGGAAGATGAGAATGGGATGCAGGATCTGGTCAGAGTCACTTCTTTCCTCCAGACGTCGGCCACCTGGGTGCAGCGTGGAGAGGCCAGCTGGGCGGGGGGCCTCCGGAGGGGTCGGGAAGGGCCCCACCCGAATGCACAGGGTTACTGAGGGGCCCGCGAGGCCCCACCTGGCTTTGCAGATCTGGCTGACTGTGGCTGGTGAGGACTGGAGAGGTGGAGAGAATTGCAGTTTCCTTCACCAAATGGCAAGCTTGCGAAAAAGTCCTTTCTCTCTAACATGATCACATACTAAAAATGAAAAACCAGCCATTCAGAGGAAAATAGACGGGCTGCTTAGCTCACGAGATACCAGGGGGCTGAAAATCAAGTCTGGAGAACATCATAAGGCACATTATGTGCTAAGGCACTGCCCTTTTTCGGACCTGCAAGTTTCTATTTTTTACAAAAGAATAGGAGCAAGAAAAGTAATGCCCTATATAATAAGCCACTCATTTTATATTTCAAATCCATTTGGTGGCTGAACAGCAGGGGTTAGGAAATATTTATTGACTCTTTATCTCAAAACATGCAGTTTGAAATAACGGCCTACTTCAAAAATAGCGGTCACAGATAAGACGGGACAAGAGACGGCACTGAGCAAGAAAGGTCACAATGCAAAGAAGACATATTTCCGAATGTTTCGTGGCTGACAGATCACCAGCTGGCACAGGGAAAGGAGCAGGAGCCTGGGAGTCTGAAGACAGCCGTGTGACCTTGGGTAAGTCATTGCACCTCTCCCAGCCTCACTGGATTGTATAGCAAGAAGGGGCTGAAACAGTTGTTCTCCAAGGTCCTTTTTTCTTTCTCAACTGTTGAGATGCACTGTTGAAGTGTCCCGAAGACCTACATCTTTTTCCTTTACTCTTACCCTCCCCTTGCAACACGGAGAGGCCTTGAGGTAACTAAGGGTGGCAATAGACATAAAACCGGTCTCGACACTGAATTGCGCTTTACAGTCCCAAACATTCATCACTCAGCAGCCCAGCCCTGCCGTCCGCCCAGAATCAATGATGCCCAGACCATCTGAGCAGGTCTATGGGAAAAGAGGCAGAAAGTTCTTGTTCTTTCTGATTAGGGCAGGTGAAGCTGAGGTCACGTTAACGACAATCTGCACTTGGCTCTGCATCCCCCTGCCCAGTGGAAAAATAAATTATTAAAGGAAACCGCTTTAGGAATGTCCGAGAACTCTCGGGATGTCTGAAACCGCAGAATGCCAGACGCCAGTGAGTTTCTTTTTTTCTTTCAAACTTCAAGTCGCTCTCAGAAAATGCAGCAGGTCCCCAAATGGTGTAAGTGTTAAATCACAACCCACTTCCCAGTCTTCCCGATAGCGAACAACAAGCCCCAAGTGGGAATCTTTTTTCCCCTTTGATTCATTTGCTTTAAGCAAGCGTCCTGGGGCCTGCCAGGCAGCACTGCGTCCAGGCAGGGCCGGGGATCCGGGGACCCGAGAGGCCGGGCCAACCCTTCCAGGAACGGCGGGGAACTTTCTTCCGCCGCGCCAGGGAGACAATGCCAGCGCCCGCGCTCCGCGCCGAGAAGGCGCCCCATCAGCGGGGCCCCGCCACCAGGCGCGCTGTCCCGGGCCCTCTCTGGAGGACGTGCCGCAACAGGGCCCCACACGCCCCACCTGGGCGCCTCCTCTGGGGATCAGACCCCCTAGGCCCTGCAGAGCTCAGGGCGGGCCGGAACCCTCCCCGCGGAAAGGGACACCCCACTGGGAATACAGCCTGGAGTGCACCCAGAGCACTGTCCCAGCGCCTCTCCACGCAGGGTCCGGGCCAGGGGTGCCGACAGCCCAGGACGACCCAGCCGTGCACGACCGGGAGACCTGCAACTCACCGGGACCAGGCGAGCCGCTGGGCATTATTCCATCGCGGGCTCGGCGACGGCTCCGCAGACGCCCGCGTCCCGGCCCCCTCGGCCGAGCGATCGCGGCTCTCGGAGCTGAACGCAGGGTGCGGCGGGGAGCAGCGGGAGCAGCGGGGGGCGCGGGCCGGGCTGCCCGAACGCGGAGTGCCCGCCCGCAGCGGCGGCGGCCAGGCGAGGCACGGGCGGCGAGCGCGGCGCAGGAAGGGGCGGGCGACCATGTGCCGGGGGGAGGAGGCCCTAGCGACGCGCGCGGCTCGGACGATCCCGCTCCGCGGCGAGGGCGCGGGTTTCAGGAAATCCAAACACTTCGACAGGAAATCGGGATCCTGACTAAGCATTCCCGTCCGGCCGCCGCCGCGCCGCGCCGGGGGCTCCCGCCTCGTTTAACCCTTGGCCCGCCAGCACGCAGGCGGGGGACGGGCGGGGTCTCCGACACCCGGAGGCGGGCGCCACAGATTCCGGTGAGCGAGCCCGCCTAGGGTTGGGAGTCTTGCTGCTCCTCCCCACTCCCCCTCAAGGCTGTCTCCTCCTTGCGCAGGGGTGGAAGCGATGGGATTTGTCTGCATGAAACCTTGGCCTTGGAAGATGCCTTTCTAAGGCCCCCGACTGCAGAAACGCGCCTTGGCCTCTCTCTCTCTTCCCATCCTACAGAGGACGAACTTGGAATCTCCAAGCTCCTTCCCCTGTTTTCCATGAAAGAAATGACTTTTATCTGGCTGCCCCCTTTCAGTGCCTCCGCTCTGCTCGTTTCCTCAAATGTTGCCCAGTGTCAAGGGGCAGAAACGTTAAGAGTCAGGACAGTAGAGTAACAATACAACAATAATAGTACGGACCTCGGACCGGGACCCGGGTTGGAATTTGGCTTTGCCTTTTTGCCAGCTGTGTTACCTTAGGTAAGTCGCTGAACTTCTCTGAGCCTCCCTATCCTTGAATGTGAAATGAGGCAGTGATGCCCCCTCAGGTTTGATTTGGAAACCCAATGTTTAGACGGGGACTGACTGACACATTGCGAATGCTCACATAAAGGATAGCCATCGTTGTCTTATTCTGTCGGAGACCTCAGCGAGGAGGGTTTGAACCTGCAGGGTGTGTGCTGTGCACCTCTGGGGCTGCTCACAAAGCCTGAGAACATCATGTTCCTCCTAATCTCCCAGGGATGATGATGATAATGATGATGATGATGACTGCAGCATTTCAGAAAATGCCCTCAGTTGAAGAAAAGGTTAGTGGCTGTGGCGGACCCTCTTCTGGTGAAATCTGAAACTCAGCAGACCTCACAGAATTGGGGATTTTGCTCTTAACCCGAGAGTCAGGACACTGTCGGGGTGTGTGAAGAAGGCTGGCGAGGCTTTAGAGAGTGGGAGGAAGCCGAGGTAAATCTCTGTCCAGCCGGGCCTGCACTGGGCGGTCAGTGGCAGTGATTCATTGTGGTTTCCCGTGGAAATGCCACATCTGGGGGGGTTTCTGCGTTTGGGTGGAGGCTGCAGCTCGGCGGTTTTGCTGTGAGCGTTTCAAATTCCCTTGAAGCCCAGTTAGACTTTGAAGAGGGAACGACGTGCCCATGAGTGAAAACCAAAGCTTGAAATGAACCTGCGAGGAACCGAAAGTTGGGCATCAGCTCCTCTGCTGCGGCGAGGGACCGGATACCAGATTTAGACCCAGATTTCTCCTTTCTGCAGCTCTTCTTCAGTGGTCGGAGGCGGTGGGAGCTCGGGACTTGGCGCTGAGGGTCCAGGGTCCTGCCCCAGGCCCTTTGCAGCTGCTGTTCCCGCTGCCTGGGAGAGTCGCCACTCGGCTCTCGACTCAAAAGTCAGCTCCTCAACGGGGGCTTCCCCCAGCCGTTCCATCTACTTGTCTTCCCCACCCACCTTCTCCCTGCATCCCACGCCCTGTTTCCTTGCCCCACAGCCCTCCTCGCTATCTAATTTTTCCTGTTTATCGTCTGTCTCCCGCCGCACGGGCAAGAGCTGCGTGAGAGCAGGGCTGCTGCTCATCTCCATCACTCGGTGCCAAGACCAGTGCTGGCCCCCCGGGGACCCTCACCCAAGACACGTCCAGTGAACGAAGGGGGCGGACGAGATGGGAGCTGCGAGTTCACTCTGCCTCTTAGCCGCCTGTGTCTCCTGCTTTGGCCGAGAGGCTTTCGAATGGGAAAGCCCAGTGTAATGGAGGAAGTGCCGGTCGGCTCTGTTAGTGGTTCTGGAAAGTGAAAACTCGAAGTAATTAAGACTGGCAGATGACATAAGTCATCTTGGTACAGTCCCAGTTAATTGCTCCTCCCACCCTGTACTGTGTTCATTGAAAGGATGTATTTATCACATTATATGTTTGCTCGGTGAGCGGCCCCCTAGGCCAGATGGCACAGCCTTTGAGCTGGAGAGAAAGGAAAGGAGCCTGCACTGATTGAGCACTTACTGTGAGCAGGGCTCTGGGCAAGGTGGATTTGAACTCATGAAAAGGCCTATGATGGGCTCAGAAACCTTCTGGGCACTAAATTAGCAAAGATCAACTTGTTGCTCTCTAAGGAAGGCAGACGAGAAGGTTCCGTTTAGAAAGCAGAGAGATGGTAACTCCAAAAGAGGTCTGTCCAGGGTGTACGGAGCATCTGGGGCGGGGCGGGGGGCGGGGGTGCACACTCCTGTATCAGCATGGGTGGGAGAGTCTCAGTCCGTGCAGGCTGCTGTAACAACTCCATAGATGCAGTGACTTCTAAACAGCACACATTTGTTGCCCACGGTTCTGGAGGCTGGGGAGTCCGACACAGGTGTGGACATATTTGGTGTCCGGTGAGGACCTCCTTCCTAGTTCACGGACAGCCATCTTTTCACTGTATCCTCACACAGTTCAAGTACCAAGGGCAAGGTTGCTCCCTGGGGTCTGTTTTAGTAGGGCACTGACCCCATTCCTGAGGGCTCCCCCATGAGGGTGGAGACCTAGGAAGGAGACCTAATCCCCATCCAAGGCCTCACCTTCTAATTCCATCACTTTGAGGGTGGGTGAGGATCTCAACCTATAAATTTGGGGAGGGACGGGAACACAAACATTTAATCCGGAGCAGGAAGTTACAAACCACTTCCCAAAAAATGGGGGCCCGGCGACCAAGTTTCAGGGAAGAAGTGGGGTTTCTCCAGCCAGACGAGGAGGCACAGGCCTGCCAGCCCAAGCAGAAACCGCGGGTGCTGCTGATGCTAAGCTCTGAGTGCCCTGCGCCCACCTCTGAGCTCACCCGCCACTGCGAGTCCTGCCATCGGCCCAAGGAACTGCCTACCCGAAGCATACACCTCTCCCTCTCTCTGCCCGAGGCCTTTCTCCAGAGCGGTGGGATCTTGGCCAGACCGCAAGTGCCAACAGCCTCGGGGTAGCCCCCCAGCCAATCAGTGGATGCACATCCCAGCCCCCCAGCCCTAAGGGGGAGACAGCCCTACAGGACTTTCAACACAGTCCCGCGGATGGCTGCCCACAAGGAACTCGCCTTAACTTACGCTTCATACTTCATCCCTCTTCCCTTACTCACTTTCTCACCCCTCCTGTGTTCTTCCTGGAATCTGTGGTCTCCCAGACAACCCAGATGCACCCACCTCCTTGTCTCAAGGCTTGTTTCTGGGGAAACCCAATCCAGGGCAGCATTCATTCATTCATTCTCAGATATTGACCAGGCGCCCGTCGTGGGCCTGAGCAAAGACGGAGAGACTGAGTGTGAGCACATAATATATCTGGGTAACTCTGTACAGGGTTCAGCACGGTCTGAGGGAACGGTGCAAGTCCAGGCATGGAATGCAATGAGACTAAAAAGTTTTGCATGATTTTACAGTTGAGGAAACCGAGGCACAGGGGTGTTGAGTCACCGGCTCAAGGCCAAACACTTAGTGTATAGAAGTGCTTTGGAGTTCAGCCTCTTAACCACCACCTGTGCCTCCTTTCCCGGTGGTCAAAGCTGTGGGTGCAGCTGCAGGGGAGCTCACCCATGGGGAAGGTACAGAGCGAGAAGATACTGGGGTCAGGGTTGAAGACCGAGGGACCCCGTAGGTGACAGAGGCAGAGGTGCCCTCAAACAAGACAGAGGGAATAGTCGGAGGAAGGGAGTGGAGGAAAACCAGGGGTCAAGGGACGAAATTGCTGCTTAAAGGAAGGCATGGCCAACACGCTCGGTTGCCCCAGAAAATTCAATCAATCAGGGCTGGAAAGCAAGTGTCATTTTATCCAGCAATTAGAAGGCTGGTAACTTTTGGCAGAGCTGCCTCAATGGAGGGGAGGGATTGGAAGCCAGATTGCAGTGGGTTGAGGACTTGAGTGGGAGATAGCAAGTGTAGACACTTCTCTACAGAAACATGGCCATCTAGCTAGTGGGAGGTAAGCGCGCAGGATTCTTTAGAGAGGGTGGGAGTGGGAGCATCTGTGGTTGATGGGAAGGTCCGGGGAGGGGAAGAGGTTGAGGAGGAAGGGCGGGGTCACCGATGGAACAGGTCCCGAGGGTAAAAAGGTGGGATCTAGAGTCAGGTGGGAGGGGACAAGCACTGGACTCAGGAGGACCCCCTGTCCAGGGGAGTAGGACGCCAGAGGGAACAGGTACAGAACTCTCAAGTTCCATCAGGATCTTCCCCTGGACTGACAGACTAGGCGTTAGGTGGGCCCTTAAGGGCCCTCTAGTTTAATTCCTCACGAAATGTATGCTCTGGGCGAAATGCATTCATTCAAATGTAGATGAGTAAAAAGTGACTTCAGCCTCATCACTGGTAATGAAATAGCATAAGAAGCTATTTTGGCCCAAAGTAGGTTAGGGAAGTAGGAAGGAGAGGATGAGCAGGAGAGACCTAGGAGCCAGAACAGATACAGCTTGGTGACTAATGGCGGGGCGGGGCCGGCGGGGGGTTGCGGTGAGAACATGCAAGGTGGGGACCATGGCGCTCACCTGTGAGGAGGGGAGGAGGAGGGTGATGTTTTACACCCTGATAAAGAGCAAGGGAGGGAAGGTTTTGAGGAGGAAGATCATGAGTTCCTGTTTGTGATTTGTGCTGGGAAGGTGGGAAGGCGGTGTGGGTGGTGGGTACAAGCCTGCAGCTTTGCTGGGCGGGGGAGGAGGGGGTGGCAGGTTTGAGGGCGGTAGGAGGGGGGGCACAGGGACCTGCACAGTTGGTGAGTGGGGGAGTCAGCACCTAAAAGCCAAAACCCTTGGCTAGCTTCTCAGTCTTGTTTCAAAGCCGTTTTTCTAACTCAGGGGTTCTCGACCTCGGCCCTGTCAACATACTAAACAGGATCATTCTTCATTGTGGGGGCTTCCTAGGC